CCTCTGCAGTGGTAGGTTTTAGCAATCCCCTTCCTAAGGAACTGTACACATATCCTAGATAGCTTTCCAAAGCAAGGAAATAAACATATGAGTAATGAGTCAGAGAAAGTCAGCCAAGGGCAGATTTATGGATAAACAGACACATGCAGACAGATGGCTGGATGGTAGCAGCCTGATTCAATGTATTCCAAGCTGAGCTGACATTGGCAGAGAGGTTGCTAGTGTAACTGGGCAGCTGACAACACACTACATCCCATGCTCTGGACTCTATTAGGAGTTGACACTTCCAGCATTAGCATCTGCCAAATGTGAAATTTGCGAACAATTCTGTGCAAAACTCCAAGACAATCAGGATGATCTTTAAATAATTTGGACTAGGATAAGGTAAGCACTCCCCCAGCACTAATCATCTCACCTACCCATTGTTGGCTGCAGCCAACCCTGGGGAAGGGCCTGTAACCTCTGGGGCACGTCTGTGGGAGGCATCTCCCATCATCCAAAGACAAATTCCAGAGCAGGGAGCACCTGTGGGGCATCAGTAGCCACAGCCCAGAAGTGGCCAGGGCCATGCAATGTCTCCTACAGTCCATCCCTTCCACTGCTCAGATCCATGAACCTCTCCCATTTAGTTCATTCTTCCCAAGCTATGCTTCTCCAAGATTTCAGTAGGTCAAAATTTCTGGTGGAAACATAGCAGAAGGGTTAGTAGGCTACACCACCAACCCCAGTATTACATTTCTCATGGGTCTGTCTAAAACTCAGCAGTTCTCAACTGAGAGCAATTTTGTGTCAGGAACATTGAACAATGTCTGGCCTGCAGACACTTTTGATTTCTGCCCAAACACATCAGCCAAGTCCTGCAGTCCTTTAACATGCAATCCCTCTCTCCCCTTAGCAGGACCCAGTTCCCTCAACAAATATTGAGTGCCTACTATATGCCACGTCCTGTTCCAGGAGCCAAGGGTACAGTGACAACCCAAAGAGATAAAAGTCCCTGCTCCCAAGGATGTGGGGAGGTGATGGTCAACATGGTAAACAGATAACACATCATAGGGAGATAAATAACAGGGAGAGTGCCACAGGGAGGGGAGCCGGGATCTAGGGAAGCAACCTCAGGGCAGGTCAGGGAAGGCCTCTAACAGGTGACATTTGAGTAAAGACATGAAAAAGGTGAGAACTGACTCTCATGGATACTCAGGACATGAGCAGTACAGGCAGGGAGAATGGCAGGTACAAAGGCCCTGGCATGGTTGAGCATGTGTGGCTGGGGCAGAGTGAGCAAGGGGGAGAGAGGAAGGAGGGGTGTCTTGGGGTATGGACCACACAGGTACTTGGAGGGCATGTTGGGGGGACTTTGGCTTTTACTTGGGAGGTAGGATTTATCAGTGTAATCATTAATAACCACCCATACCTTGCAGTCCACATCCACATGGGTGCTGGAGACAGGGATCTTGGCCTTGGCTCTGGCTATGGCCCCAGGGGAGGAGAGGGGTGCCAAGCATTGCCCCTTGCCCTCAAAGAGGGCAGAGGGACAGACTCCAGCTCAGCCCCTCAGAAGAAGAAAAGAAGGGGAAAAAAGAATAAGGATAAAAAAGGAAGAAAAGGAAAAAAGGAAAAAGAAAATAAATAAAGAAAGACAAAAGGGAAAAAAGAAAAAAAGTCCCTGTTGAATAGGGAGAGACAACATGTGCAGACCCTTTACCATCTGGGCTAGGTCTCTGAGGCAAGATGTTAGGGCAGCTCTAATGGCAGTCCAAGGCAAGAGCACTGGGCAGGTGGGTCTGTAGCAGCAGGCCAGGACAAGAGTACCCTTTGTGGCAGGCCAGGCCAAGCTAAAGGGACACTATGGCCTCTCAGCATCAGACCAAATCCTGGCCAGGGTGGCCCCTAGCTTCAAGTTAGGACAGGCCAGGGGGCACTAGGGGCATTACAGACCTTGCCGGCGGGCTCTAGTAGCAGGCCAGGTCAGGAGTGCTCATATTGATGGGGGTCCCTTAGAAGCAGGGGTGGCTTTTAGCAGTAGGGATAACCTTAGTGGCAGGCCAGGTCAGGGAGGCCCATAGTGTCAGAGTACCCATAGTAGCAGGATGACCTTAATGGCTACCCAGGCAAGAGACATTAGCGGCAGTCCAGGTCAGGCCAGGGGGCCCCTTAGCAGCAGGCCAGGACAGGCCTGGCAAGCCCTTAGCAGAAGGGGGGCTCTTAGCAGCAGGGGGACCTTGAATAGTAGGCTTGGCCAGGGAGGCCATTACTGCTAGGTCAGGCCAGGGGGCTCCTGAGGCAGGCCACATGGTCCCTAGGGTCAGGCCAGGCAAGGGTGTCCCTTAGTGGCAGGGTTGCTCATAGCAGCATGGGGGCCTTAAATGCAGGAGACCCCTAGGGGCAGACCAGTAGAGGGGGCCCCTTCAGCAGGCCAGTCCAGTGAGTCTCTTAGACAGGACAGGACAGGCCAACTCTTAATTGCAGGGGGTCCCTTAGCATCAGGATTGGCCAGGGCAGCCCTCAGTGGCAGGGGAATTCTTAGTAGCAGGCCAGGAAAGGCTATGGGCACACTAAGCCAGACCAGACTAGGGGGGCCCTTAGTGGCAGACTGGGTCAAACCAGGGGAGAGCTTAGCAGCAGGTTAGGCCAGGCCAGGGGCTCCTTAGTGCCAAGACAGACCAACGGCACCCTGGGGCAGGCCTGTCGAGGGGGACACTTAGTGGCAGAGGTGACCTTAGTGGCAGGATGGCACT